GAGTATAAGTAGAGTATAAGTAGAGTATAAGTAGAGTATAAGTAGAGTATAAGTATATTCATAAAGCATTTGCATATATTATCATTTTTGAGAACATATTTCTTAGGGCAAAGAAATCTTAAAGCCCAAGCAAAAAAACCCTTAAAGAGAAATTTTTAGAAAAGTTTGAACAGGGCCAACGAGCTGGGCTGGTAAAAAGCTATATGAACGTGTTTGTGGTTGAATTCAGGTACGTTGGCTAAGAGTTGCGTGGCATGTGTATCAGTGTGTATGTGTGTGTGCGTATGCATGTGTGTGGTTGGCAATTAAGCCAATGAAGCATTAAAAACACCAGCCAAGGGCGTAAGCCATGCAAAGTGAACTGAAATCAGAGACTGGAATTGGGGAGGGGCACACAAAAAGGATATGGGAATGAAACATGCTATCTCACTCACTATATCTGATTCTCTCCTCTCTCTCTCTCTCTCTCTCTCTCAGTCTGTGTATATGTCACAGCTTGGCTTTGGGTGGATTAGCGTGGATGTTGCTGCTGCTGCTGCCACATTTGTCAATGTAAAAAGCATTACGCTTAAATGAACCCATGCACATGCATAAATACGCCAAAGCCAACGCGGCGAACAGACGACACGTGTGCGTTAACAATTTAATTACGCCAAATAAACCACCCACACACACACACACACACACAACCACCCAGTCAACAGATGTTGCCCAAAAAGTTAATCACCCAATCGACGACGGGCAGGTCAGCTCTATTAAAGACTTACAACCGTGAGGGAACTTCACCAGCTCGCAAAACCATTAGCCAACGCTTTGTTTTCATGTGTGTGTGTGTGTGGGTGTTGGGGTGTTGGGGGGTGGGGTGGGCTCTGTAATAAGCGGGTGTGCTGGCAGCTATGCCTAAGAAAGCTAGGGCCTATTTACTTAAGCTGGTGTGAAAATATGCCATGAGTGTGCATATACGAATAGAGGTTGAGCATATGTGTGTGTGTGTGCGTGTGTGTGTGTATAGGTGAGTGACTGTGTGTGTGCTTGTGTGTACAAATATGTCAGTGGCAAAAGCTGTTACACAGAGAGTTAGATACAGGCAGAGTCGGGAATGCGTATGTATGTGTGTGTGTGTGTGTGCTTCTAGGCAGGGCGAGCTAAGACGAAGCAGCAATGCGCTTTAAGCTGTGAGGGAATTGAGTTCATGAGATGAAACTGAAATTGAATGAAACAGAAATTTAAAATATGGAATTGTAAGTTTGATATGCAAAATATGGAAACCAGAAATGGAATTTTAAATGTGGAAATACATTTATAAAATATGTAATTTGAACTACGGGAGCCTTAAAATTGAAACTCGAATTGACTCTCCATATTCACTCTCCTCAATCTTAATTTCATAAACAGGATTCTGTACTGTTTATGAAATTAAGATTGAGGAGAGTTAATATGGAATATAAAGTATGAAATAAGGAATAAAGAATATAGAATATTTAATTTGCAATATCGAAAAGGAAAGGTAGTGAAGTAAGAAATATAAAACATGAGGTTTGGGCTGTCGGATATGAAAAATTTAATCAATTAAATGCAAATCATAAAATATTACACATTATAGATTACATATTATCGCTTATAGAATATGGAGTCAGTTATGGAATCTGAAGTATGGAGTCCTTCATATTCAAATGGAATATGTAAAAAGGAATTTATAGTATCGTGCAAGTATCAAAAATATGAATTAGGGTAAGTTACCAATCCTAAATATTCAATTATTAATGGTATACCATATTTTATATTTAATTTCTCATTTACCATATTTATTATTCAAGTTTTCAAAGCAGATTTATTGAATTTTAATACAGCTAATTTTATAAATATTTGTTCTCATAAATACATATTTTATTTATTATTATATATTTTATTTTATTAATAATTTTGTGTGGCTTACACAAGAAGTCAACTAGATACCTTCTCTACGTTTAACATCTACAATTAACATACTGTTATTAACTGACTGCTGCTGTTACATTACCATAACAGACTACGCTAATTCCTTAAAACTTTTCCCATACAGTTTATCCATCACAAAGTCCGCAATGCCCCATTTTATTACATAGACGCAGCTCAGTCTGTGCATATACATATATTTCTAATGCAATATATCTACATACTTTATATATGCACATACATATATGGACTTGTACATATGTATGTATGTATTCTATATGCATAACAGTTGACTGCGGCAGCAGAACAAAAGATAGTCAGAGGCATTTCTTGGCAGCTGGGGCACTATTAGTTTATTATTACGACCAGAGTTTTATTGTCAACCTGTGGAGTGTGTCAGTGTGTGTGTGTGTGTGTGTGTGTGTGTGTGTCTGTATGATGTATGTGTATGTGTATGGGCAATTGTGGGCGTGTCCATGAGCATGTGTGCAGTTTTGCTAGGGCGTCTGTGCCTGGCCATATATATGAAATATTCTGTTGATTTGCCACGCCCTGCGGTTGTTGCTGTTGTGCGTGTGTGTGCATATGTGTGTGTTCATTTTTGTGGTTAGTTTTATGGCTTTCAGTAAGTGTGTGCATGTGTGTGTGTGTGTGTGTGTGGTTTTTATGCGTTGGCATTCTATAAAATTTATGTTTATTTTTTTGACAAACGGAATCGGAAGTTTTTTGTTGCATCTCTTAGGCGCGTCGCACTGGGCGTATACGTATTTAGAGTTTTTGCCTTAAGCCACAGAACATAAAACATTTAAACGGCCTACAGTCAAAATGAAAACATTATGAAAAACCGCCCTGGATGGGGCGAGATTTTAAATGCCTTTTACGTTCGCCTTTGTGCCTTTGGCCCTAGGGACAAATCTATTAAAGACAGACAGAAAGGATAAGGCTGGCGCTTAAGCAGCCAGGCAGGAGCTGAGCTGTGCGATTCGAGTCGAGGGTTTGAGTTTGAGTTTGAGTTTGTAGTCGCTGCTGAGTAATTACGCAAAGGATTTGGTTAAACACTTCAGGCCAAGCAGCAACAAGCTGGCTAAAAGGAAGCCAAATTGATGAGGAAATGAGGATGATGAAATGGGAAAATGTTTTGCTATGAACATGTCATACATATATTTATAGATATGCACACACACACACGCCAAAGAAAGCATGCAAAATAAAATTGTTTTTATAAAGGCCAACAGTCAACAGTCAACAATTGCCACGCCCCTAACCAGCCTTAGTGACGCCCAGTGAAGCCAACAAATAGCGCCACGTGAGCGAAATTGCTAATCAACTGGGCAAAAGCATTCGAGGGCAGACGTAAAAGCCTCTAAAGGACACTCAGCACGTTTTAAGTGCCAGTTGCTGTGTGTGTGGGTGAGACTGTGTGTGTGTGTGTGTGTGTGAGTGTGGCTCATCATTTGCCATGTTGTATGTTAGACAGCGAATGCTTTAATGTATTTAAGCTGGGCACAAAACATTATTGTCAGCTGGGAATAGCGAGGAGCGTTAGCAGCCTAGGGGGTAGCCAGGGGTGGGTGCGGCAGCGTGATGGCAAGCCATATTAGGGGGATGGTATGTTGTTGGCTTTATGTGTAGGTGTGATGGCGTCAAAGTGACATGAGCCAGAGACAAGAGCCAAAGAGCGCCGCTGGCAAAAGCGACAGCAACTAATGACAGCTCTATATATATGTAGGAGTGTGTGTATGTGTGTGTGTGTGGGTGGATGAGTATGTGAGAGCAAAGCCTACTTCACTCTGAACCACACAACCCCATTAGACATAACCCACTGAAATCCATTTCAATCTGCTCCTTGTCGAGTTGGGGATTTGCGTTTTTGGTGGTTGTCTTGCATTAGCCATAGATACACCTACATGTATGTATATATATAAATGTGTATGTGTATGTGTAAAGCCCAGGAATGCGTTAAGCCTTGATGTTTTAATCACACTTCCTAATTGAAATGCTGTTAAGCAGCTGTGCGCGCTAACGAGAAAACACTGACAAAAGCCCAAATGTGACTAAGTGAAAAGTTGATATGAGCTAATTGAATATTGAAACTGGTTAAGTTTTCTTTGATATGTGATAGAGCTGAAAGCAGAGCAATATATAGCAATTATAATCATGCCATACATACAGACAAGGACAGATACATATGCGCATAAATGTGAATAATATCCTTTCAATATAGAAATTGTCAAAGTCTATACTGAAAAGTATAGTATTCTCTCTCTCTCTCTCTCTCCCTCTCTCTCCCTCTCTCTCTCTCTCTCTCTCTTTCTCTCTCTCTCTGATTGATGGACTGATTAACAGCTTGATGAACTAACTAAATGACTATCTAATGCGCTCAGTAAGGTGTCTGAGTTGATGATGTGGAACAGAGTAACTGTTGATGATTGAGTGATTGACTAATAAAGTCTGATTGCTTGAAACTTACTGCTTTAAATATTAAATTTATTGATAGCCTTACTAGTCAATTAACTAGCTAGCTTTCTGACTAAATGATTGATTGGGTGTTTGGCTGCCTAAGCAATTGATTAGCTAAGTGGAGGTTCAAGTGGTTCAACCAATGCCTCATTGATTGGTTGATTGACTTAGTAATTAGTAAAAGTGCTTACTTATTAACTGAGGCCCTGAATATCTGGCTGATTGACAGATTAACTGATTGATTTACTGTTTGATTGATAAACTCACTGATTGATTGATCGATTAACTCAAGTACTGATTGACTGAGTGATTGACTAACTGATTGGCTGATTGAAATACTGTCTGATTAGATTACACACTGATTGACTGATCGATTGACTGAAGTATTGATTGACTAAGTGATTGACTAAGTGAGGCCCTGAATGTCTGACCAATTGACTGATTAACTGATTGATTTACTGTTTGATTGATAAACACACTGATTGACTGATCAATTGACTGAAGTACAGATTGACTGAGTGATTGACTAACTGATATACCGATTGATTGACTTATTAACTGACTGACTTATTAACTGACATATTGACTGCCTTGGTGATTGACTGACTGATTGACTAAAGCACTGATTGACTGAAGATTGATTGATTGACAGACTGATTGACTGACTGACTGATTCACTGAACTAGTTGACTGACTAACTAAGAAACTAGCTGACTGATGATTGACTCAATATCAGACTTGATTGACTGCTGAACTAATGCACCGACAGATTGAATGAGCCACTGAGTTGAATACGCATTTTCCTGACTGCCTGGTCCAAGTGATTGACTTATTAAGTGACTGAGTAATTGTTTGCTGTTGCATAGATAAATAGCTAAAATTGTTCAGTGTTTTGGAAAATTGTCTCTTCGAGCGTGAAAAATTGATGAAAAGCTATTATATATATATCTCTCTCTCCTTACATGTAAGTTCAGTCAGCGTACGCACATACACACTCTGATTTATGACAAAGACCAATTAGTGCACAACTTCTAGTCGACAATAATCAATGTATTGCCATCTCCCTTGCACGCCTTATCACTGAACTGTTTTTGGATTCAGTCTCAAGTCTTTTCGATTCATGCTATCAGCGACAGTTCAGCTACAGCGACTGACAGTCTCTAAACCCAAGTCAAAGCAAGCACACACACTGTTCTCCTCTGCAAACACACACACACACACACACGCCCATATGTTGCCTAAAGGCTGGATATTCCTGTTAGCTGGTCTGCTCTGGCTGGATAGCTGTCCGCCAAGCCAAGCAGACGTGGCCAAGCTCGTTTGCTACTACGACTCGTCGAGCTTTGTGCGTGAAGGTGAGCAAAAGCTAATCTATGTATGCCAAGCGGCAGGGTGAAACGGGGGTATTTCACGTATACCACACAAATACATATACATATTTATCTCATATACATTGCTTCATGTTTTTGTTTTGTTTCACAGGTCCCGCACAGCTTTCACTGCAGGAACTGGAGCCCGCCTTAGGCTTTTGCAACTATCTGATTTACGGCTATGCCGGCATCGATGCGGAGAGCTTTAAGATCAAGAGTTTGAATCCCGAGCTCAGCTATAATCGCCAGCATTATAGTCAAATTACAGCATTGCGCCGGAAGTATCCACATTTGCGTATATTGCTCTCCGTGGGCGGTGGGCGTGATGTGAATGCTGAGGGCGTGCCGGATAGCGTTAAATATTTGAGCCTATTGGAGCAGCCGGAGCATCGCAACAGCTTCAAGGCCAGCGTTCAAGAGGAGCTGAATAAGTATGGCTTCGAAGGCTTGGACTTGGCCTGGCAGTTCCCGCTGCTGAAGCCCAAGCAGCAGCAGGGCGCCTTGAAGCGCGCGTGGACCTCGTTTAAGGGCTGGTTCAGCAGCAACTCCATTGATCCCAAGGCCGAGGAGCACAAGGCGCAGTTCGCCTCGTTTGTCAGGGAGCTGCGACTGGAGCTGCAGCGCAACGGCAAACTGTTGACGCTCAGCATGCTGCCACATGTGGATGCAGAGCGTAAGTACCCCATGGAATATCATCTGAAAGCTCTCCTCATTCTCTGCCGCAGTCTTCATAGACATACCATCGGTGCTCAGCTTCGTGGACTTTGTCAATTTGGGCACCTACGATTTCCAGACCCCGCAACGGGATCCCAAGCAAGCGGATCTGCCGGCTCCACTGTATGACATGTACGAACGCGATCCTAGGCACAATGTTAACCAGCAGGTACAGTATTGGCTCAATCACACGGCCAATGCACAGCAGCTGATCATCGGCATTACGACCTACGGACGTTCGTGGAAAATGTCGCGCGATTCGGGCATCACTGGATTTCCGCCAATTGCCGACACGGAGGGACCAGCTCCCGGTGGCAAGCAGACGAATCAGCCCGGTTTGCTAAGCTGGCCAGAGATCTGTGATCTCTTGCAACGTCATCTCGGCCAGGGCATGGACACCAGTGCTGACCATCTGCGCAAGGTGGGCGATCCCACGAAGCGTTTCGGCATCTATGCCTATCGAGCGGCTGACGACAATGGCGAGAATGGCATCTTGGTGGGCTACGAGGATCCCACCACGGCGGCGATAAAGGCCGACTTTGTCCGAGCCAAGGGCTTGGGCGGTGTGGCCCTCCACGATCTGTCCCTAGATGATTTCCGAGGCCAATGTGCGGGCGAAAAGTTTCCCATACTAAGAAGCATCAAATATAAATTGTGAATTGTTCAGAAATAAAGGAGATTCCACATATATAAATAGAGTTTTTTTCTATAAAATATAAAATATAAAATATAAAATTAAAAAAATATAAAATATAAAATATAAAATATAAAACATAAAATATACAATATAGAATATAGAATATAGAAAATAAAATATAAAATGTAGAATATAAAATATAAAAAATAAAAAATATAAAATATAAAATATAAAATATAAAATATAAAATACAAAATATAAAATATAAAATATAAAATATAAAATATAAAATATAAAATATAAAATAT